CGGGCTCAGGCAATCCACTCACCTCAGCCTCCCAAAGACGCGGGATTACAGGCTGAGCCACCGAACCCGGCTGTTTTTGTTTTTTGAATCGGAGTCTCACTGTGTCATCTAGGCTGGAGTGCAGTGGCACCCTCATGGCCACCTCAGCCTCGACCTGCTGGGCCTAGGCGATCCATCAACTTCAGACTTCCAAGTAGCTGGAACCACAGGTGTACACCACCACACCCAGCTGATTTTTTTATTTCTGTAGAGATGAAGTCTCACCATATTGCTCGGGCTGGTCTCGAACCCCTGGGCTCAGGCAATCCTCTCGTCTCCGCCTCCCAAAGCATTTTACAGGCATGAGCCACCATGCCCGCTATCAAGACATTCTGTCTCAGGAGCAGACGGGGCAGAACAATTGGGACTTGGGTCTTAACAGAGTAATGTATAATTTGAATCCAAATTTGTCTTACGTGTAGATGTGAGAGGGAGTCTGAGAGTTGGGAAAGTGTGGCCCCATAAAATTTCTCCTACAAGGAGAGAAAATTAAGAGCTCACATATCTATCCCATTCACATTAGCAACACTATGTTGATTTTTGACATGTTAAAAAAGGCAGCCCAGATGTAATGGAGGAAAGGTGCTAGGGCGAAAATCTTCCTTTTCTGCTTCCTGAGAGGTATCTAACACGCTTTAGAATCCCGCTTCCTATTTATTTACTTTCTCCCATTTTGAAATTTTTCCATATGGCTGAAGCAGATTGAGAGATGAAGGACGGTATAAATAAATCCTACCTTTGCTGGGCTCGGTGGTTCAGCCTGTAATCCCGTGCTTTGGGAGGCTGAGGTGAGTGGATTGCCTGAGCCCGCGGGTTCGTGACTTGCCTGGGCAACTTGTCGAGACCTCATCTCTACAATAAAAATAAAAAATTAGCTGGGCGTGGTAGCACGCACCTGTAGTTCCAGCTACTTGGAAGGCAGAGGCAGAAGGATTGCCAGAGCCTAGCAGATTGAGGCTGGGGTGGCCGGGAGTGGCTACTGCACTCCAGTATGGGCTACAGAGTGAGACTCCAACTCAAAAACAACAACAAAAATCCTGCCTTTGTCAGAGTCTGGGGTGAAGGTGGTGTACTTAAGCATGGCCTTTGAAAAGCGGGAGAAGCTGGGCTCAGTGGCTCAGCCTGTAATCCCGCGCCTTTGGGAGGCTGAGGTGAGTAGATTGCCGGAGCCCGCGGGTTCGAGACCTGCCTGGGCAGCAATACCTCATCTCTACAATAAATCAAAAAATCAGCCGGGCATGGTAGCACGCACCTGTAATTCCGGCTACTTGGAAGGCTGAGGCGGAAGGATCGCCGGAGCCCAGCAGGTCAAGTCTGCGGTGGCCGGGAGTGGCCACTGCACTCCAGTCTGGGCGACCGAGTGAGACTCCAACTCAAAAAAAAAAGAAAAATAAAAAAAGAAAAGCGGGAGAACCCTTTCCGAGGAGCCAACAAGATGGCTGAAGTGGAGTAGAAGAAGAAGAGGACCTTCCGCAAGTTCATCTACCGCGGTGTGAACCTGGACCGGCTGCTGGACAATGCCCTATTAGCAGCTCATGCAGCTGTACAGCGCACGGCGGCTGCAGCACTCATTGCTTAAACAGCTGCGCAAGGCCAAGAAGGAGGTGCCCCCCTCATGGAGAAGCCCGAGGTGGTGAAGACACACCTGCGTGACATGATCACTCTGCCCGAGATGGTGGACAGTGTGGTGAGTGTGTACAACGGCAAGACCTTCAGCCAGCTGGAGATCAAGCCGGAGTTGATCAGCCATTACCTGGGCAAGTTCTCCATCACCTACAAGCCTGTAAAGCTCAGCCAGCCTGGCATCAGTGCCACCCACTCCTCCCATGTCATCCCACTCAAGTAGTCGTGCCAATAAAGACACGCCTGCCCAGTCTCCCCCCCAAAGTAATTTC